TGAGGGGTGCTAATTGCTCAAGTTTGCCGTTAATTTCGGATAGAGAGTTTTGTAGCTGTCGGATGTCATTACTATATCAGTATTTTGGTGTGTATGAGGTGGACAATTGGACTCTTTAGTTTTTGTAATTTTAGATTTAGGCCTTGGTAGAACATACTGTCTAGTAGACTGTGCTGATTTTTCGATGCACGTAGGTATAGTGTCTTGTATGTCAACCAGTCTTACCGTTGGCATACTGCACGTAGAGGTAGAGAGGCTGCGACATGGAGAATCTGGTGATGAGAGACATTTGTGTACAATACACATATTTTTCAGTAGTTAAAGGTTCGAAATTGTCAAGCACTGAGTCGTCAGTTGTAGGGGTTACAGATTTGGACCTTTTATTTGGCTTAGAAGTTGGTGAAATTTCTCTTTTACTGGAGTCATTGGACAGGATATGAAAATAAGTGAGCACAGTGCTCGTTAAATTAAATATAATATCTGAGTATTAGTTGTTATTAAGTATTAACCTGGTTAATACTAGGATTAGAGACTATGAGTATATAATAAATTGCAGATCTATTTACGACTTAAGTCCGCAATAGGTACAATACGAACTGGTAATTGTCCGTCGAATAAAAATAAGTTTTCACCTTATTTTTCGGGGTAAGATGTACCCGATGTACAGGATAGGACGATAATCACAGTATAATACACCCTACAAAAGAGCAAGTCGAAGAATTCCTAAACCACGTGAAAAAGTGTTACCACTTTCAAAGTTCGCGCGATGTTCATTGAAGAGGATGAAGGATCCACGAATTCTCCTGGAAGTCGAAGTGTCGTTCCATAAACGAGTTGAGCCGCAGTGTATCCTATGTTAGCTTTCACTGCATCGCGAATACCTAGTAAGACGAGTGGAAGAGCGTCGGTCCACTGTGAAACGTTTGCAGCTGATAGTGAAGCTTTTAGTTGTCGGTGAAAACGTTCTACCAACCCGTTTGCTTGTGGATGGTAGGCGGTCGTTCGGAAGCTAGTGATTCCTAAAAGTGTGGTCAGACGACAAAAAAGTTCAGATTCAAACTGACGTCCGCGGTCTGTAGTGATGGTTGAAGGGCAGCCGAAGTTTGCTACCCATCGTTCGACGAAGGTGCGGGCCACTGTTTCAGCAGTGATGTCCTTGATAGATACTGCTTCTGGCCATCGAGTGAAACGGTCTACGCAGGTTAAGAGGCAAGAGTATCCATTTGAATCTGGTAAAGGTCCTACCAAATCCAGATGAACATGGTCGAAACGTGCATCGGGAGTTTTAAATGAGCCTAAGGGAGATTTATTGTATCTGATGACCTAAGATTTTTGGCAGCTTACATAGGAGCGTGCCCACTCCCCCACGTCTTTATTCATGCCGGGCCAGCAAAACCGTTCTGCTATAAGCTTGATGGTTGCACGAACACCTGGATGAGAAAGTTTGTGCAATGTGTTGAAGACATTGCGTCGATAATGTTTCGGCACGATTGGGCGATCCCTACCTGTAGATGTGTCACAAAGTAAGGTTTCCTTACCTGTTCCCATCTGTTTGATGCGTAGTTTAAGTGTTGTGGACGATAACTCGTGCTGAAGATCAGTGTCTTCTTTTTGAAGCTCGGCGAGTTTAAGAAGGTCGATTCCTTGGAAACTGTTCAAGGAAGTTATGCGAGATAAGGCGTCTGCAACTACATTGTTTGCTCCAGAAATATGTTGAATGTCTGAAGTAAACTGCGAAATGTAGTCCAGTTGTTGAGACTCACGGGGAGAGTACTTGTCTGAAGTAGAGCTTAGAGAGAAGGTGAGTGGTTTACGACCTTCGATATAGTGTTGAAAATGTCGTACAGCACAATACATAGCTAGGAGTTCCCTACCGAATGTGTTGTACCTCGATTCGGTGTCTAGCAACCATCTAGAGAAAAATGCCAAAGGTTGCCAGGAGTTGTTAACCCATTGTTATAAGACTCCTCCGAATGCTGAGTTGGATGCGTCTTCTGCGATGGGTGTTTGAGTGTCCTGATGTGCAAGCATTGTTGCTTTAGCGATGAGTTCCTTAATTGTGGAGAATGCTTTTCGTGCGGTGTCGTCCAAATTAACGGATTTAGCATTTCCACGAAGTTCGTCGGTAAGAGGTTTCATGAGTAATGCGCATTTCGGTATGAAATGTCTATAGAAACTTACGAGGCCGTTAAACGTTCGTAGTTGCTTGATCGTGGTCGGTTCTGGGTAATCCAGAATTGCCGCCACTTTGTTCCTAAGGGGTCGAATGCCTTGAGCATCTATAGTGTGTCCTAGGAAGTTTAATGAGCTGGTTCCGAATTGACGTTTCTGAACTTTTACAGTAATGCCGTGTTTTTGTAGTCGTTTGAAAACAAGGTCCAGATGCTTGAGATGTGTTTCTCTGTCCGGACTTGCGATTAGACAGTCGTCAACATACGCATGTACGAAGTTGAGACCTCGAAAAACGTCGTCTATGAATCTTTGGAATGTTTGAGCAGCGTTTCTTAGACCGAAAGGCATTCGCGAAAATTCATAGAGTCCGAAGGGAGTTATGATAGCTGTTTTCGGTATGTCGTCAGTAGCCATAGGTATTTGGTTATACGCTTTAACCAAGTCGATTTTCGAAAAAACAGTTGGACCTTTCAAGGTAGCTGTCAAATCGTGAATGTGAGGCAACGGGTAACGATCGGGAATGGTTTTCGCGTTCAATCGCCGATAGTCACCAGTTGGACGCCAATCGTTGCTGTCCTTTTTAGGGACCACGTGCAACGGAGATGCATAAGGGCTATTTGACGGTCGTATGATTCCTAAATCTATCATGTGATCGAATTCGTTTTTCGCTAATCTTAGCTTTTCAGGAGCTAGTCGTCGTGCTTTAGAGAATACAGGTGGTCCTGTAGTCGTGATGTGATGTGTAACGTTGCTGGTTACACACGGTAGTTTCGGTTGAGTTTGTTGTATCCCAGGATACTTATCGAGAAGTGGTTGATAAAATGGGTCTATCGTATGCTTAATTGTAACTGGGGATAATTTGTAACCGGAAAAACGGATAAATTAGTGTATCCGTCTACTAGCCTCCGTGTCGATGATTAGATTATATTGTTGTAGAAGGTCCATACCAATGATTGGCATAGAAACATCTGCAACAACGAAGATCCAGTGAATGGGTTTGCGTAAACACACATTAAGGTAAACGTACCTTTTGCCATACGTAGCGATCGGTTTTCCGTTTGCCGCCTGTAAGTTTAGGGTCGATTCGTGAAGTCGATCGTTGGAATTCGCTGGGAGAACGCTAACTTCTACGCCAGTATCGACGAGGTAGCGAACTCTCGTTATCACATCTGTGACGTACAACAGACGGCTATGTTCGCCGGCTACGGTTGCCTTTAACGCGTGCCGGCTTGGAAGTTTCCCGAGTTGTTTTTCGAGTCAGTCGGATTTGAGTTGGTAAAATTGCAGGGTTTTCTGCAATTTCTGGAAGACTTTCCATATTGGTTATGATACCAGCACCAGTCGGGGTTATCCATCTCTCGTGGTCTAGAGACAGATCGCTTACGTGAAATGCTTCTACGTGGGGTGTGCGATCGCTTACGGTCGTTACGAAAATTAAGATAACGCCTAAGTGTATGACATAACTCGGTTATGTCATTCTGAGTCGTTTGGGGCTTTTCTTTGACTGAAAATACCTCGGTAGTAGAAGATTTCGTAATTTCTAAGATACGATCGGCAGATGCAGCCAGTTCGTCTAAGGCGTTGTTTCGACACGAGACCAGAACTGCTTGCACCTTTTGGGGAAGTTTAGACGAGAAAAGTTGTTTGAATAGACCTTCTTCAAAAGTTCTTAGGCTTATAACCTCTCTCATCCTTTGCAGCATGTCCGTAGCAGAACCGTGCTGCAGGTCTATGTTATTAAAGAGTTGATTTAACCTTTGTCGATCGGTTAGGTCTCCTCGTTTAAGAATCGAACGCTTTAAGGTTTCGTAAGGTTCAGAAACATCACTAGTAAACATACTAGGTGTTACGTTCCTGTGGTAGTGCCTTGACTACTGCGAGGAATTGCGCACGTGTGTCGATCACGCCGTGCTCGTGGAAGTGGGCTTCTGCGTAGCAGAACTAGGCTTCGATATTGTCTGGCCAGAAGGGCATGAGCTGGAACAAGGGCGGGGACATGGTCTTAATCTTAAATACCTTAGAAGTCTGTTCGGTCATAGGGGAATATTAAGTGCGAGAATACGAGGGAAAAATATAGATATCCTGAGACACGGGGAAAAATATCACAATGTATAAAAATTAAAAAAAGGCAATAATATATAAAAATCCCAAAAAGGGACAGACTCACAGTCGCAATTAGGTGTACCAGATCACGTCGGTCTCAGCAATAAAAATGACGCAGGTATTCAGTGTTCGACAACGCTTTTACCAACAACATCTAATATAATTTGTACCCACCGAGAGAAATCAAAAGACAGAGTCGAGGAGATCGGAAGAGTATATTTGGCGATAACCAATATATCGGAATTCTCTGATCTAATATGGCTAGCGATTGCGGTAAATGTTGAGCACAGCGTTACCACGCGTGATCTGGTGCGGATGCATGACCGAGCGCCTTCAGCTAGATGAGTCCACTAAAACATATTGTCAGCATCCAATGTCGAAAACTTACAGAGTTATTTATTTTGGGGATTTATTTACCGCTACAGACTGTAGACACAGCTTCTACTCCTTAAGAGTTGTCAACTGCTGGAATTCGTTGCCAACTGAGCTAGTCCAAGTGACTTCCAGGGAGTCCTTTATTAAGAAACTTGGTCAATTCTTAAGGACTAAGGATAACGTCTTATTATGATTTACCAATTTCTTTTTTCCTCTATTGTCGTTAATATATCAGGGTTCCTGCCTGGAGGTATTGTTGATCCACTTCTACTAGACACGGAAGCTCGTTAAGCGAAAGCTTCTTCTATTCCGTGCACAACCACTTGAAGCATTTAAATTCCAACAATTCCGCGGCACTTGTGACCCATGACGCTCCTTCCAATGGAAAATGGGGAAGGCATTCTCTGCGCATTAAAGTGTATGGTCTTCATTTGTTAAACCCAAAAATCATAGGTTTTGAACAGGAAAAACCTCTGTCTATACCATCAATTCTCGAAGATTACATCAAACAGATATCCAGAAATGGACAAACAAGGTAATTCCATCACCTGTCAGTTTAACTTATTAGGCTTCCTTGGATATATGTAAAACCATTGCTACTACATAAGTACAACAAAGTGGTCGACTCATTCATATCGGAAGGGAGTGGTTTAGATTACTCAATGTTAGCTACCCCACCTCACTTAAGTGAACTTAGGCAGCGAGTGTTCAATACTCTCAAAAGACTTGATGGGTAAGTTATTATTATAGAAGGATTTTCTTGTCAGAATACCTTTTACTATTCAGAGAATTTGCGAACTATTTGATAGTCCTACTCGTCACTACCAAAGAGTGGATAAGTTCCTGAGAGGACTAGAGAAGGTAATACATGTACATTGAATTCATTAGTTGCAGGTTTGTATGGTGGTATCCACAGTAGATCCTTATGGAAAGTAAGTTCACGTGTGACTTTTACATTATATCAATATTTCTGACAATACATTGCGTTCGGAGTTGTCCAAGTCATCATATCAGAGGCTTGCGTGCTAGGCTGTGCTCTGTTGAATGCTTTTCCAGTTTATGTTGTCATACCTCTATTAATGAACAGGGTAAAGTCAGTTATACTGTTGGAGTTGAGCAACAATTTTAGCGGTCCTGAGATTGGCCAATGACAAAACTGAGGATTTATTGCTAAAAAAGTAGTGAAGACCAAATATGTATCATCTTTTTAAATAGTTTCTTAGTTCATCAGGGTCCATAATCGGTCTTTTTAAACGATGAAACAGACTTCCGCTAGAGATACTCGTTCGAGAGATTAGTTTATGCCTAGCTAGTCGAACGAGTTAAATAGTTTTGTAAATATATGGTACATTTTACGATAATTGTATGCGAAAGTTCTGAAAGACACTAAATGAGATCCTTGATATTTAAAGGCGATTTATACGACATAGGTGTTTATTTTTCACTGCACCAACGAATACATGGTCCAGTTGAGTTTATTTTGTTTGGATTTACCCCTTAATCCCATTTGCTATTGGTTATGATATCAAAACTATTCATTTTGCTTTGAGGTGCAATAAAGCTCCGTGGTTATGCAACTTATGTTAACATTTCTCTTTCACCGCCTCAGCCATTATATGTTTGACATCAAAGTGGTGCGGATGTTTCACGTGTCGTGTATTTGCCTGACGAGATATTTGTCACCAGTACGCTCATTTATCCTCGTCCGGCTTTCTACATTAAAGTTGGGTTTTCAGGGTAATAAGTTAGAGCATAGATTGTGCGAACATTGTCTTAGAGATAACTTGAATGCTGTTTCGTATCAACATTGGTCGATACTTATTTGCGTTTGTTGCAAAATTTGAAACTATTTGATCCAAGATTTCTGCTGTATATCAGTCGGGTCAGTGAGTTAATCATAAACACCATGAAACCTAGCACAAATACGCATTAATCCGTGTTGCCACATCGTAGTGCATTAAAATTAAATTATCAATAATATAAATAGGTTGGGCTGTCTGTAATGACTGGTTGATGTTAATTTATGGTTTTATTACGGTGAAAGGGAAATCAGTAGTCCATAACAAATATCGGTAGGACTCTAATTTATGGACAAGCCAATCAGAAGCGTTTAAGGAATTTCAAGGTCACGGCGGTAAGTTCAGTGCGAGATGCCCACATTCGATCGTTTTACAGCAGATTTTAGAGAATTGGTGATCGTTGGGAGACTACAGCAGATGGCACTGTTAAGAAGTTCCTGTGTCTGTGACTGCGGCAATTAAATGACCGCAGCACGATGTGCAGACTGCCGCGATGACATTGTATGTCGTTGTACTATATGTTGGAGAAAAAAATCTGCTCGAACTGGCAATTTTTTGCCCGGTCACGGCTAAGGCTAAGATAAGCCATGATAATCGTTGCAAATTGGATCATAAAAACTCAGGTAACATTAGCTGCGGCTATACCGATGATTGGAAAGCGTATAGATGCCTCTCCAGACTTGGTTTTATGCATCATGTTGTGGTGCACAAACGTAATTCTGTTGATCCAACGACGGGGGTCCATACAAACAACATTGAGGGCATGTGGTCTAGGCTGAAGTATTTTTAAAGACCCTACCACGGCTCCAGAGGACGATTATTATGGAGTCATATGGACGAGTCCTTATACCGCATGCACTATGATTTCAAAACTTCTGAACCTTTATCAAACCTCAACACGTTCTTAAATCATGTAAAAGAAGAATATCCATTGTAATTCATCACTTTTTTATAATATATTTTTACTTTATACTAACTCTTTTCTGATTGGCTAATGTTCTCAAGGTCACTAAAAAAATTCGTTCAAAGGTCGTCCATAAAGTAGAGTTTCACCCAAATATCATCATGTACTCGGAAGCTTCCTTCATCCTCCAGATTATGTGCTGATAGCTTATTAAAACAAATTTAAGTAATGCTACTTCTAGCTCTACTGTTAACCTTATGTTTTAGTTAATATTCATTGTTTTCAGCAAAATTCACCAAGAAGATCCCAGGTTCCCAAGTCGTGCTGGTTTGGATGACTGTGGGTTATTAATAGAGGGTTCTATTACTTCACCACCCACCTCTCCACCTCCTGAGAATCCTCAAGTACATCATATTTCCAAGTCCTCAGATGAAGAGGTTACTGAAGAAGATGACGAAGGTGAGGATAATAGTAGTGATGGGAGTGATGAACGACAATCACCAAAAGCTGATCATAGTATGAATCTAAATCCATTAATGAACAACTCTTGTGCAAGTTCGTGGCTTTTCAAAGCACAAAATTCATTGAATCTTCCACACACTCCTCCAATGCCGTTTCGTAGTTCTGTTTCCAAAACCAGGTTGGCAGACCAGTCTTTAACAAGTGCTCCTTTACTCAGTGTAAGTTTTTGGGCTGTGTAGTTATCTCATTCGCCTTAGACATGAAATTACCTTTTCCTTGGTTAAAGTTCAAATTTGATTATGTGTTTAAGCGTATAAACTTTGTGTAGATGTGACTATCATGATCAAGTAAGAGCTAGGTTACAGGTTACAAATTAAATACATGATTAGCCAAGCAGTAGTTTATTTCTACATGAAACACGGTAAATGTTATAATAATGTTTCTAAAAATTAATAAAATTTTCTTTTGTAGGGTTTGTGTGGTAGTCTTCTCTCTGCATACTCGAATAATGACGAAGATTACGACCAACTTAATCGATCGTCAGAAAACAAACATACTGATTCTAATACCCAAGTTAATTCCGATCACTTATCGTCTGTTGGATCTAGCTTCTGCTCTGAGTCGTCTGAGTGTTTACATGCTCTACCTGTAGAATCTAACCTACAAGAAAAACCATCAGATGCTTCACATAACCTCTCTTCAGTTGTACAAGATGAAATACAAGATCATTCTCTTCCATGGAATGAGGCAACTAAAATGCCAATCGTCAACTCGGAAACATTGGAAGACACGATAGCTCAGTGTGATAAACCAGATGAAGTATCTAGCAGTGGTATTAAACCTTCAGTTTCCAATGTAAACCGAAATGATTCGCCTTCCAGAAGATTAGAGGTTAGTATCCAAATGAGTTTTGTGTAATATATGTATCATCAATTTGGGAACGCTAATCTTCAACTACTCTGTAGCAATATATTAAGTGAATATAGCAGGTTTCACCAACACTATTTTATTCAAGTTATCACTTGCAGATGCGAATTGTTAGTTTTTTTAACGAAACTCCTAAGTGATCTAGTCGCGATGCTATAAAGTCTAGAATGTTTTTTTGTTGGATGGAAACGTCTTATTACTAGCAATTTATGGATAGTGTTAATTTCGAAGATCACGCCTCAGTATTCACGTGCCCCCAAATGCCCTGGTACGGTCGAGAGTGAGTTGGGTTAGCTCTCCTCCTCGAAATGCTCTCACATGGCCATGCGTATACAGCCACTACTAGGGAAGTCTTACTCACTACCTTCTCGTGGCGAGGGTGTTGTTTACGAAATTGAGAAGACGAAAAGCGAATGTCCGGCGCTTTAACCGGGTTGGTGAACATGGAGAGTCCACCTAGGGGAGTCGGAAAACCGTGATTCCAAACCAATGGTGCACATGGGCTCCAGTACCCTGAGGGGACAAATGGCGTATGAACCAATTATTGGTCACCGGCTACCATGGGACTGCATCTCCTTACGATGCTCCACTGCCTTGTGGATCAGACCTTCAGGTCGAAGGCTCGGTGTGTGGCCCCCTAGGAAAACCACCTGCTTCGGTCTGGGTACCCTGACAATATCACAGCCCTCACACATATCAAATGAGATTTGTGTGGTGCATATGTATTTGGTGCCTCCTTGTACCAATATCTATGTGTTAAAAAAAATATAATACAGTATTCACGTTAGACATATAATTAATCAGCGACTCAGAGTTCTATACAGTTTATCTGTTTCCGCTCGTGTCCTGCCCTAGTAATACTGGAAACAAGTTAACAAGTCTTAAGCTTTTGGATTCACATAAAAGCAATAAATTCCTCATCCATTATGAAAGTTTATGAATTCTAATACTTCACTGTTCGTATTAAATCTTATTCGGATTCGGTGACGTTTAGTGGATGACAAAATTTTGCTTTCACTTTATAGCTCGACACAACTGGAGATGAAAGTGGTTTGGCTGGTTGTCAAGTTCTGAGACCTATTGGTCAACTTGAAGCATTTGTACAAAATTTAAATTCTGAAGTTTCTAGCTCAGTAACGTCTGTACCAATGCACAGTGGGTCTCCAAAATCCACAAGCGACCCATCTGCTCATTTGAGTTGTGTATCATCTATGGAGGACCTAAATCATCAGGTAAATCAAATTTATATTCCTAATTTTTATGTGTTTGGAAGATAGTTCTACTCTTGACAGCATGATTATCGTAGTTTAGGTAAAAAATGAGTCAGTAACCGAAAGATGACATCCTAGTTTATGTGAATTCCCTCTTTCGTAAAATATCGGATTTAACCCCGACTAAGATTATCTTATTATATATCGTATAAATCAGATTATCTTTTTGAAATATAGTCACCTAAAAAGCTTCAGTGCATGTTTTCGAATCTCTGATGATCCTCAATTGTAAAAATCGCAGCAGCAAGTCTTAAAAGTCTAAGTCGTTGATCTAATTTACTGTAGTGTATGGTCATGAAACCTAATAAATACTTCTGTAAAGTACATTACTCCAGTTGGTTTGAAAGTCTTTGATTTTTCAGTTTCATTCTTACTGTGATAGTTTCTTCATTAGCACCAAAAATTCATGTTAGATTTACTTAAATCTCCCAAAATAACTTGTAAGACCTATTTTCTCTCATTTGTTTTTTGTAACTTTAGATTTCGTGTTTATATTTTCAAACTGCCTGTTTTTTCTTAGCATTCATAAGATGTCCTCCTTATCAACTTGTTGATGTCTGTGTTATCTCGTCACCGTTTTCAAGAATATCAGTCCCTAAGTAGGATGTATGATTATGTATTTTCCATCTTTATTTATGACGTTACTGACCTGAGTTCGGTTTAAACACAATAGAGTCGCATTACCAAAATTATCTGGTCATTGTATTTATAGACTGTTTTTATTTTCTAGGGATCAATTACTTCATCTAACTCACTCTTACCTGTTTTGGTTGGGGTTAGACGTCCCCGTTCACCAGGAATGGATTCTAGTGGTAGTGATCCTAATGTTTCAACAAGCAAAGATGCAGATTTGTCGGAAAGTCCCGCCAAAAGACGTAGACTTCCGTCTTCGGATTTAACTGAAACGGTAGAATCTAGTACAGATTCATTAGTAAGTTTTGATCAGTGAATTGTGATACGATGTTTTGATAACTATAAATTCAATAAAAGTTTGAGATTATGTCACTTTCTAGTTCCGAAGGTGATATATTTTCCATCGAATTCTTATTGTTTGCTTAGGTTCGGGCTCCTGGTGCAGTATTCCAGCCCTCACACATATCGAATGATTTGTGTGGCGCGTATGCATTTGGTGCCTTCTTGTATCAATGTTTATGTGTTTAAATAATGATGGTAAATAAGTGATAATTAGTTACTTGAGATTATTTATTGTTACATTCGTTTATACACTTTTGATTATGAACCCTAATTTATATTATCTTTAAACTATTCTTAGTTTCCAAATCTGAAATGTTATTGCTGGCCATCCGTTCGCACCCAGTAATTTTTCTCCTGATATCGAAAAAATAGTTGCTGTGAAGATGACATCGTTCTTGCTATGTGTGTATTATATAAAGCAGGTTGTTTAATTAATCAACTACCATTACAAATAATCTCTTATTAAATGAACATATGTTTCATTTCGAAACGGAAAACTGTGCATGTAGCATCAAAACATCGACAAATCATAAGCGTTTAAAACCGATGAACAAAGTTGGATTCAAGTTCACCACTCGGTTCTCTTTTGTTTTATTCAGATCTTTTATTTAAAATTTTATGAGTTGTTTTAATGTACTTGTGTAGTAGAAAAATAAATTCAGAGGATTTATTTTTTAGATTTCAGTCTATGATTCTATAAAATAATAGTCTGGGAAATGTTAACATTTTCAAATTTAGCCATAAGTGCAAAGTTAATGCCATTCAGTAGGTATATTCTTACTATAATCTATGCATTTGAGACTGTCTAACGTATTTATATCAATCTTTTTTTCGTTCCAACAGGTTGGCATTAGTTTCCAGATTGTGACTTCATCATCTTTGGCACTGAATGATTCTCCTCCCATTATTATGTGTAATCCTACGAATCAAACTCGTGATATGGATTCTGGTGAATGCATTTTCGAAGCTTCAGAAAATCCTAGTTCTGGTCAGTCTGTAGTCGATCCAATCTTAGCTAGTGATAACATATCTAACTTACATGAAGTAGTGAACATTAGTTTCGCACAAAATTCTGAGTCAAGTTCAGAATCTGTAGAAGGAAGTGAGACAGTTTTGATGAACAATGATAATATTGGTTTATCAACTGTAAACTTGTCGAATATTAATTCGGAAACCGGAGAGGAAGAGTCATAACATCTCTTTTTTAATCATAACTACCAATGTTTTCTAGAAAAATATTGTGGTTTCAAGGAATTTCATAAAAATACTTTTTAAGTGTATATCATATTACTTTTATTATCGTTGTAAAATTTTTGAACCTGCTTGCTTTTTTCAGATTTTCTGATTGTAATCGTTATTTTTAATATTATTTCGTTAGTCAAGCTTGATGCAGTGTACTATTCGTAACTATATGTCAGTCTTTAAAATTGATAGAGGGCAATCTCATTTATCGGTTATTTTGGTGTTTTAAGTGGCTTATTTTGTTTCTCATTGTAAATCTCACTCTTAAACAACTTGCATCGTTTAGTTTCGAGACGAAAGATGTTATCATTTGTCAATTTGAATCTTATTTTACTTTTTGCCGACAGTCAATCTAATAACATTGTATCACACAAATTAAAGAGTTCCTATCAGAACTGTAAGGATTTACAAGTTTTATAATAAAAAATGCTAGGTTATTGTCACCATTATTTTTGTATTTAAATTTTATATACTTGGGAGATGATCTAACTTAGAAAAAATCTTGTAAGCTAAGATTTTAGTTACTTGACACTTAAGAATTCATTTGGATTTCGAAACGTTGAAAAGTAAAGGCACCGATGTGCTTAGTCAATTATTTTTTTATTACGTTAGTTATATATATCTTGGGACGTGATATAAATGCGTGTCGCTCCGAGCTATCACACCTTAGTAAAGCATAGAAAAATAAATAATTAACCAAAGTCGAAAACGCAAAGAAGTGACAATGATAAGATCTATTTTATTGAAAAATGAAGTACTAAGACATATAGTTCAAAAGGAATAAATTAGGACGGTAAATGACGTAAACGCAATCCATACCACTCATTGTTTGAAGTTATAGTTTATGGTTGTAGTTTTGACACCAACTAGTAAGTCGATATCTCCTTACACGGATCAGATCAGAATTCAGTGTCTCAAAATAACCATCTAAATTTGGCTCATGCTCAGAGATTCTTTTTGTCTCATAATATGTAGGTGTACGTTTCATATGTGGTAAAATTGAGATGTTACATTGAAGACTATTCAACTTACAACAAATCTTTAAGCATCAAGGAGAACGCATGTCAATTGCGTCAAGAAATAATAGAAGACAGTTATGAGTAAAAAGGAAATGGTCAAATAATATTACATAGATGTAACGTCCGTCGTATAATAGAAATTGCTCTAGGTTTATTGTGCTTTTATAGCATTATCTTCGTATGTATTGTGGATTCTTGCTTTGAGATTGAAAACATTTCAACTATTTGTAAGTTTGTATTACCCTATAAAAGCTCCCAAAACGGTTGTGTTTAGTAAATAATCATTCTTCACATGTGTTTATCATATCTGTTAAACGTGGTTGCCCCAAAATATGCTAGGAGTCTTATATCAAACTAGCTATATTTTTCTCCCTATTTCTCCACTCATAAAGCAGTTCCTTAATGATTGTAAAATTGATGTTCAAATTTGGGTATGTCATTAAATATTTAAGAGTAATTTAACTGAACTTTCGGCGAACCAATGAGGTATAAGATAACTGATCTCGGATTTCGGCGCGACATTCACTCATCCATTTGGCTAAATAGAATTTTGGCATTATGGCTGGTGTCAGTTCGTGATGAAAACCCTACATCTAATTCCTAACCCTAACCATCAATCGTAAATCCTAATTCTAATTACTCACACAGGTTTATAACCCTCATTTGGTCTTAATCGCTAGATGGGCACCCTCAGGATCACTTTAACGTCGCTCGAATATCGTCCATAAATTCTAGTTTCACCGAACTTTCTAGTCAGCTCACGGTATACTGTTAAATCAACTGCTCTCACTCACTGTAGGTCGAATCAATTTGATTATGAATGTAATTACAGTGTTGTGAATTCTTACATTTTTTTTAACCATTATGGTGTTTCTTTAATATTAGTTTCTTAGTAAGATAGGTAGTATTAGACATAATTTCATTATGAATGAAATCTCGCTTCGTCTCCTAAGTTTCCACAAACTGAGCACTATGTAATTTACATCGAATTGATTTTGGTCACTCCACCAAAATTCTCCGAAATCATACGGTCAGAATAATCGGTTCAAAGGGGATACAAATGGGAGACATATATATCAGAGGCTATAGCTATTTACCGACTCAGGCCTAAACTTTGTATACAAAGCAGTTGATCAATCCCTCATTCTACCATGGTCTTAACCTTCATTTCTGCATCCCATAGTCTATCGTTTTTCCTACTCTTTCCCAATTATTTTTCATAACTATCAATTAGTCATTATTACAACTTTCAATTATTCTTTTCTTAATATCCATCAAGTGGTCAGTTATCTTCACCTTAACATTTCTCATTAGCCGCTGAATTGTTATGTAGCTTCCTTTCAATATCTGAGTTTTGTAAACAACTTGCGACGCGATACTAATTCAATTTGACATCACTGACTGACAACTTCTGGTTGTCGACAGCAGTCAATCCATGTTGTAAATTATCTTCAAACCAATATCATATGTTAAACATTTCAGGAATATGGTTTTTAATCAGTACCTATCTTCTAATTATGATTCATTGATTCCTATCCCAATGTTATTCATCCCTAATGATATTACATTGTTTAAAGAATACATTCATTATTTTTTAGTCTGGGATTTATCACCGTACTGGTAATTACTAAGCAATGAAGGCCTTCTGTATTGTGAATAGTTTCTACGACAGATATAATTTTTTCTTTGGTTTTCAAGGAGAACATGAACAAAGAGAATCAGTAAGTAACATCCAATAATGAGAGTAAATTAATTTGTTTATTGATAAATTTTCAAAATAAAACTTGACATCAATACACGTTTTATTGCCTCAGTGTTCGTATTGTTATTTTTCTATGACATAGATTACAATAAAAGTTTTAATCTCTTTGATTCCATGTTCCTCTGTGTATTATACCAGCACAATTATTGCATTTAAAGCAAACTAAATGAAAGACATTAACTTATTTCAAGGTGTTCTGCCGGATATGCTGGTTATGAACATGTTTCACATATTAAGAGTCCAGCCACCTGACCATCTGATAGTGATTCAAATAAACTGTGACAATTAGTGGAGGTATTGTGACTTTTGTTTCAAGTTGTGGATGATAATTACTGACTATATCTTTTAGTACAATGACTGAACTAAAATTGTTCAGCTCACACAAATTTCTTTTATCTCAGTGCTCTTTCGATTATGATTCACTATTAGGGATAGTTTCTCTCGATTTATCACTAACTATATCCTTGAAATTTGATAAATTGAATTGATGATGCTCTGGTATCTGTGATTGAAAATAATCGGATTGTGATATTGCACCAATCGATAGGAGGATTTCTTGATCTAAGTCAATTAATGTATTAAACAAAAGGTTATGTAAATGTTACCAAACTGTCATTTCAGATACCGTAAGAGATTCTTTTGGAATTGATGCAACAATTCTATTCTGAATTTAAATAGAGCAAGAACAAACATTGATGCAGAATAGTATGAATTCATATTATTTCGAGGTTTCTCGTCAGCTGCTTACAAACCAAAATTGTGATAGAATTTTTACATGGAGATAGTATGAAACAATTGACATAAATGAGTGTAAATAACGTGATTACAATAATAACTATATATATATGCTAGAAACAGGTCAGAGGTCAAAAGAGGGGGGTTAATCCAGGGTGGGTGGTGTAATAATTTAGTGAAGTTCATAAATTGTGTGATAATTGTAGAGATTAATGTAATTAAATAATGATAAGGTAGATTACGTAATAATAATTAAATAGGGTTTGGAAAGTTAAGATGATTTAAGAGGATCAGGTGACGGAAATGTGTGAATAAAATTTATTTTAAGAATTCGGTAATAGGGGGGGATATAAATTATCTTAGAATAAGTAAATGAATAAAATAACCAAAACACAAAACAAACAGAAACAAAAAGATTACCAGGGTAGTGATAAGTTTATTAAACTCTCTTCTTGGATGCATAAGTCCGGTTTCAGTTTCTTAATTGCAATGGCTTCAGCAAAGCGGAGAGTGGTAGTAGTTCTTTGTCTATTGATAATTTTAAACGCGCGCATAATATCGACGGTATGCCCGGTGTCAAGTAGATGCCGAACTATTGCACTGTTAAAAGCTTTAGTCCCTCGCAGCGTCAATTTCTTCGGAATATGCTCAGAAATGCGAACCTGTAATCTTCTCTCAGTTCTTCCAATGTATGTGCTACGGCACGTACATGTGAATTGGTAAATGCAGTTGGAGCAACTGAGGGGAGAGGACTTGTCGATTTTCGTTTGTTTCAGTGAGCAGTATGTCAATTGTTTCACACTATCTCCATGTAAAAATTCTATCACAATTTTGGTTTGTAAGCAGCTGACGAGAAACCTCGAAATAATATGAATTCATACTATTCTGCATCAATGTTTGTTCTTGCTCTATTTAAATTCATAAAGGGAACCAATTGCATGAAAATTCTATTCTGGCTATATACGTCAACAACCTGATCCTTATTATGATTTTTCATTGTTGTATCTGTAGAATTGTTCATCATTTGGGCTTTGTTATTAATCGATTCAGTGGAGTCATCTTTATTTACTTCAATCGTTTCATTCCATGGAATAATTTTCAACTTATCAATTATATTATTCTCTTTTTGTGAAGCACCTTCAGATTGTGTCAGATTTTTTGTCTTTGCTTTATTAGACTTCAGTGTTGAAAATATACTTGAATTTTTAACAGTTGAAGATTTATCAATTGCAGTCTTTCTTTTATATATTACTACCATTGAAGTAACTACTTCTATGAATTCAGTGATCATCTTGTTGTGCTGATGAGGTGTGGCAACTTGAACCAATGAATATATGCTCCTGGTTCTACGTTTTAGCTGATTGTGGATGTCTATAAATAATATATCATGTGTTTGATGATAAGAATATTTGGCACATAGAGCAATCCTTTTTCTGTTTGTACGTTTAGTTATCATAGTTGGGAATGTTCTGTGAAAAGTGTGATCATTTAGTTTAGAGAAGGGTAGTTCTTTCAGTTATTCTATAGGAGTTATTCGTTGATTATATAATGGACATCGTTTAGTATTACCATAATATAAGTATGATTGGTATAATTGTTGACAATTTCTATGCTGTTGCTTACTCTTATCATATTTATTGTACACCAGTAAAGTTCCAAGCATTTGTAAAAAGATAATTGTGCTTTTAATAATCGACTTTTTCGTAATATAATCAGTTTGATACAATTATCAGTTTGTTTCAATTGAATAAAATAGTCTTTCTTGTACATATACATGAATCATACCAAATACAAATGAATTTCTTTATAGCAACTTATCCTTGTTATATAACGAACATTCTCAGCAAGTGGTAAACACCTAAGATTCACTAATTCAAATAATAAGATTGATTGATTTTTTAAAATCACATTTATACTACTGATTTTTATATGGTATTTAAGTGATTCATGTTAACTTCTGTGATTTTGATGGTTGATAATGTATCACTTGATTAGAATTATGTCTAACTTTTTAAAATGTTTCCCACTTTTTATTGCCATCTGAAACAAATATAATTTTCTTTAGCTTTTTAGCGGTTAGTTCATTTTATGAAACTGTTCAATAAAACAAGAAAAATAATGATAAGTGAATATGTCAGTTAGTTATGCATGTGCCCCCGAATGCCCTGGTACGGTCGAGAGTGAGTTGGGTTAGCTCTCCTTCTCGAAATGCTCTCACATGGCCATGCGTATACAGCCACTACTAGGGAAGTCTTACTCACTACCTTCTCGTGGCGAGGGTGTTGTTTACGAAATTGAGAAGACGAAAAGCGAATGTCCGGCGCTTTAACCGGGTTGGTGAACATGGAGAGTCCACCTAGGGGAGTCGGAAAACCGTGATTCCAAACCAATGGTGCACATGGGCTCCAGTACCCTGAGGGGACAAATGGCGTATGAACCAATTATTGGTCACCGGCTACCATGGGACTGCATCTCCTTACGATGCTCCACTGCCTTGTGGATCAGACCTTCAGGTCGAAGGCTCGGTGTGTGGCCCCCTAGGAAAACCACCTGCTTCGGTCTGGGTACCCTGACAATATCACAGCCCTCACACATATCAAATGAGATTTGTGTGGTGCATATGTATTCAGTGCCCCTTTGTACCAATATTTATATGTTCAAACAAAAGAAGCTATGGATTTATGAATTTAAAAAATAGTTTCACATATATTCTGAAGCATAGCTTGATGAGTTCACTACTTGTTATTGCTAGAGAAAATGATTTCCAATTTGTTTGATAAGCAAATTTTCAGTCAACTACATGCAAACAATGAGCACTTAGTTTATGATACCTATGTATTCAGTCATTATCTTAATAACTAAAGCAAATAAGATATCAAACTACAAATTCACTTATTATTATTCTGATAGCATAAATCAACACTTGTAAATTTTCAAAAACTAGATTTAAATTTATTAGGGTAATACGGTAAAGCTAGTAGGAAATGTTGATTTCCAACCTTCGTACTCGATCTCATTTTTGTAATTGAAAGTTCC